CTTCATACTAGAGTAATTACTTACACCCAACCAATCAAAAACACAGACCCAAGCACGCTCCTTCACCAAGCCCTCCTCTCTGAAACCTAGACAGCAATGTGACTTTGAAAAGATGTTGCAACAAGGAGAGGTGGAAGAAATTATCTCAAAAAAAGGTTACAGTACTTCACCAGTATGGCAATATCTTCATTCATACAAGTCTGACAAAAAACAAACAACGATGGTTTGCAACAGAGAATCAATAAAAAACAAGTCTGGTAATGCAACCAACTTGATTTATCCTAGAGTGATGGCCTAAGATGGCCTGGGCTGTACTTAAAATATATCTTCAATATTTTTCATAAAGTTTTCAATAATTATTGATATGATTTTCTTTATCGATAAGCTTTTGTTCTATATTGTCCAGTCCGCATATACTAATATATATATACTAATATATATATATATATATATATATATACATATATATATATATATATATATATATATATATACATATATATATATATATATATATATATATATATATATATATACACTAATTATATATATATATATATATATATATATATATATATATATATATATATATACACTAATTATATATATATATATATATATATATATATATATATATATATATATATATATATATTGTCGCCCTGCGATGGACTGGCTCTCTGTCCAGGGTGTACCCCGCCTGATTGCCCACTGACTGCTGGAGATAGGCACCAGCCCTCCCGCGACCCTACATGGGCAAAGCGGGTTTAGACGATGGATGGATATCTTTTGTCACATACAGTCAGGAGAGACACTTTAAGTGTATGCCGGCTGACTGCTACATAATCTGAGCAGGCAAGTCTATTACTTATACATGACAGGAGGTGTTGAAAAAAGATGCTTCCTTTGAGGAGGAACACGTGAAGTAGAGGCAATCAATATAATAATTAGGTGAATGAATATATACAGGTGCTGGCCAGTAAATTAGAATATCATCAAAAGGTTGAAGATATTTCAGTAATTCCATTCAAAACGTGAAACTTGTACATTATATTCATGCAATGCACACAGACCAATGTATTTCCAATGTTCATTACATTTAAATTTGATATTCATAAGTGACAACTAATGAAAACTCCAAATTTGGTATCTCAAAAAATTAGAATATTCTGAAAAGGCTGAATATAGAAGACACCTGCTGCCACTCTAATCAGCTGATTTACTCAAAACACCTGCAAAGGCCTTTAAAAGGTCCCTCAGTCTTGTTTTGAAGGCACCACAATCATGGGGAAGACTTCTGACTTAACAGCTGTCCAAAAGACAATCATTGACACCTTGCACAAGGAGGGCAAGACACAAAAGGTGATTGCTAAAGAAGCTGGCTGTTCGCAGAGCTCTGTGTCCAAGCACATTAACAGACAGGCGAAGGGACGGAAAAAATGTGGTAGAAAAAAGTGTACAAGCTCTAGGGATAACCGCACCCTGCAGAGAATTGTGACGACAAACCCATTCAAAAATGTGGGGGAGATCCACAAAGAGTGGACTGCAGCTGGAGTCAGCGCTTCAAGAACCACCACGAGGAGACTCATGAAAGACATGGGATTCAGGTGTCGCATTCCGTGTGTCAAGCCACTCTTGAACAAGAAACAGCGCAAGAAGCGTCTCGCCTGGGCCAAGGACAAAAAGGACTGGACTGATGCTGAGTGGTCCAAAGTTATGTTTTCTGATGAAAGCAAGTTCTGCATTTCCTTTGGAAATCAAGGACCCAGAGTCTGGAGGAAGAGCGGAGAAGCACAGAATCCACGTTGCATGAGGTCCAGTGTAAAGTTTCCACCGTCAGTGATGGTGTGGGGTGCCATGTCATCTGCCGGTGTTGGCCCACTCTGTTTCCTGAGGTCCAGGGTCAATGCAGCCGTCTACCAGGAAGTTTTAGAGCACTTCATGCTTCCTGCTGCTGACCAACTTTATGGGGATGCAGACTTCACCTTTCAACAGGACTTGGCACCTGCACACAGTGCCAAAACCACCAGCACCTGGTTCAAGGACCATGGTATCCCTGTCCTTGATTGGCCCGCAAACTCGCCTGACCTTAACCCCATAGAAAATCTATGGGGTATTGTGAAGCGGAGGATGCAATACGCTAGACCCAACAATGCAGAGGAGCTGAAGACGACTATCAGAGCAACCTGGGCTCTCATAACACCTGAGCAGTGCCACAGACTGATCGAGTCCATGCCACGCCGCATTACTGCAGTTATTGAGGCAAAAGGAGCCCCGACTAAGTATTGAGTGCTATACATGCACATTCTTTTCATGTTCATTCTTTTCAGTTGGCCAACATTAGAGAAACAAACATTTTTTCATTGGCCTTTAGAATATTCTAATTTTCTGAGATACCAGATTTGATGTTTTCATTGGTTGTCACCTATAAATATCAAAATTAAACGTAATAAACATTGGAAATACATTGGTCTGTGTGCATTGCATGAATATAATGTACAAGTTTCACGTTTTGAATGGAATTACTGAAATATCTTCAACCTTTTGATGATATTCTAATTTACTGGCCAGCACCTGTATATGTGTGGAGGCTTTGCTTGGCCACCCGCCAGGCTAAGTGTCATACCCCGCCCACCTCCCCGACCCTACCGTATCCGCTGACACGAACAGCGCAACAAAACTAGAGCCCTCCATCATACTGGTGAAAAACAGCAGCGGAATGTGTGCTACCCCCCCACCCCCCCACCCCCACCACCACCACCACCTAGGGCTGTCACGGTAACCGCAAAATTGAAATATTGCAATATGAAGAAACCCACCGCGCTGCATCATGGGCCACCGCGATTACCGAACGTGATTCAACTCAATGATGCATGTTGAGAAGGATGGCTGCACTGGTATCAAAACGAAACGTTACTTCGCTCCTTTGGGAGCACTTTGGTTTTCAGTACGTCAGCTGCTGCGCAGCCAGAGTCCTTTGCCGAGACAGAGCTGCCACCAGCGGCAAAAAAATAATAATAAACGCTCGGAGACCTGCTGAAGTCCCGGACAAGCACTGCTTCTGCAACCGTCCCGAAGAGTTTGAGCTGAGCTGGAGTTCACTCGCTACCTGCAGGAGGAATGCATCGACCCTAAAGAAACCCCCCTGACATGGTGGAGCAACAACCGGGAGAGATTCCCTTTGCTCGCCAGTCGCACGCAAGTACGTGTGCGTTAGTGCAACGAGCGCACCATCCGAGAGGGTTTTCAGTGTTGCTGGAAATGTTGCCACCCCTCTCAGATCCTCTCTCAAACCGTATAAGGTTAACATGCTGGTTTTCCTTGTGGGTAACAAGGACGTGGCCGAGCTATAAATCACCGTCATTCGTGTGTGTGAACGTGAAATGATAGTGCGCCCCCCCCCTGTAATTTTTTATGCTTGATTTTAAACAACTAAACAAAATGGGGACTTGTTTCTTATTTGTTAGATGCTGCAGCCAAATTTGCATTTAAAAGTTTAACCTCCTCCTGAATTTTGTTGTTTTTAAGTTCAGTCGGACTCCAACTGTCGGAGAAACAAACGTTACTGCGATCTGTGTTGTTACTGCCCTTTGATCTGCATTCAGTAAAGTGTTATAAAAGAAGGCATGGCAATTTTTAACCTTTTTTAAATGTGTAAACTAGGGCTGCTCAATTAATCGAATTTTTATCACGATTACGATCTGGGCTTTCAACGATCATTAAAAATGACTTGAGCCGATTATTAGGCTATATTAGCACCTCCCTCGTGCTTTGCTCTCGCGTAGCAAATCGAGCGCACCTCTCTGCGTTTCGAACACGTGACGCGTCACATCAAGAGTTAGTTAAAGCTAGTAAAGCGTGACCTCAGAGGAAAGCTAAGTAGACTTTATTTGGAAAGGAGAGGATAATGGCTGCTAAAGAAAGAATTCCGTTGGTTGAAAAGCGAGGTAAAACTACTTCAGTGGTGTGGAAATATTACGGGTTCGCAGAGTCAGACGTGAATCAAGTCGATATAGTGTGTAAACTTTGCTACGGTGTTGTAGCTGCACCACAGGGCAACACTACCAATTTATTTAATCATTTGAGGACCGCTCACAAAGTAACATACGATGAAACAATGAAGGAGCATAGGGAAAAACCCTCAACAACACCGGCTTCATCCTCACAGACCTCCATTCACGCTACCCTGTACAACGCGACTAAATATCCCACCAGCTCCCAGAGGCACAAGGAGATAACAAACGCGGTAACTTTTTTCCTCGCCAAAGACCAATGCTCAGTCAACACAGTGAACAACCCCGGCTTTAAGAAGCTAATCAACACTTTGGACAAACGGTATAACTTGCCATCTCGTCACTATTTTAGTCGAGTGGCGATTCCCGCTTTATATGATGAGTGTCATGATGGTGTCACAAAGGAAGTGGCTACAGCCCAATATTTTTCCACCACAACGGACTTGTGGTCAAGCCGCACCATGGAGCCGTATTTGAGCCTCACGGTACATTTCATTGACATGGATTTCAACATGAAAACGAAATGTCTTCAGACATCATTTTTCCCAGAAGACCACACAGGGCAGAACATAGCTGCAGGTCTGAAACAAGCACTGGCTACGTGGGATCTGGAGGAGAGTAAACTCGTCTGTATAACCACAGACAACGCTGCAAACGTCATACTGGCTGCAGAACTGAATGGCTGGATGAGGCTCCAGTGCTTTTGGCACAGATTACATTTGGCCATAGGTGAGTAGGCCTAATTCCTACTGAATATGATGCATAATGTGATTTTCTTTTAATAAGTATACAACATAATGCTTCGAATGAATATAATATATAAAAAAAACTATTTAAATTCAGAGATACTTTTATTCCTTCTCAAAGTGATACACATTTTCTATGAATTATACAAACACATAAATAAGCTACCATCACTTTTTCCTATTCATTCATACTCAAGGAAATGCCAATCATCCTCTTGATGATGCTTGTTTATATTTTTTATGTTTTTACAGAAAGAGCCATGAAAGATCACAGGATTGAGCGTGCAGTGGGGGTCTGCAAAAAAGTGGTCAGCACCTTTTCATTCAGTTGGAAAAAAAAGAGAGAGCTGAAAAAGGCACAGATAGACCTCAAACTGCCAGACCACTCCTTAAAGACCGAGTGTCCAACCAGATGGGGATCTAGGCAGGCCATGGTTTCCAGAGTCCTTGAGCAGCAGAAGGCCATTGCCCATGTCCTCTCCCAAGACAAAGGAACTAGGCACCTCATCCCCTCATGGCAGGACATCGATGTCCTTGAGGCCATCAACAAGACCCTGGGACCTCTGGTTGAATTCACTGATGCACTTTCTGGAGAGAAATATGTGAGTGTGTCTTTAATAAAACCAACACTCCACCTATTTAACAACTCAATCCTGGCTGAGCAAGATGATGACACAGACCTCTCAAAATGCATCAAGAGGAGAATACTGGAGTACCTAAATGAAAAGTATGGTGACTCACCAACACAAGAGTTGCTTGACATGGCCACTGTCCTGGACCCAAGGTTCAAACTGAGATATGCAAGCGAGGTCAGCCAAGAAACCATCAAAGCCAGACTGACAATGGAAATGAAGTCCATCATGGTATCTATCTATCTTGTCTGTCTGTCTATCTTTCTGTCTATCTATCTATCATTATTTATAGTAATTATTTAAGGATTGTACTTTAGAATGCCAAACCCGAGACAGATAAAACTGGTTCCTCATTCTGTGTTGCTGTCATTTTATGTTTGTCCCATTAAAGGAGGCTGCAGTGATGGGGGCACCCATTGGTAACACGGAGGTTGCTGATGATGGTGCATCGAACCAAACGAAGAGGAAAAGGGGCCTAAGCAGCTTCTTTAAGGCCCCTCACAGCCCAGCAGCTCCAGGTGCAGAACATACTCTTCAACTGGACCAGGCCATAGCTTGTGAGCTTCAGGGGTACCTCCAGGCTGGGACCCTGGACACAGAGGAAGACCCACTGGGGTGGTGGAAGCTATCACAGAACCTCTTCCCACGACTCTCCATCCTGGCAAAGAAATATCTTTGCATCCCAGCCACAAGTGCCTCATCAGAAAGGGTCTTCAGCACTGGTGGAAATGTTGTCAACTGCCTGCGTGCATCCCTAAAGCCTGACCATGTTAATAGGCTGGTGTTTTTGGCTAAAAACCTTTGAAAGGTTGCAGGAACCATGTTTTGTTGAGTCATTTTAAGATTGTATGGGACTCTGGCCACCTAGTTTTTATTTATTTCTTATAAAAGGTACTACTTTCAGTGTTTTATTTTATTTTTGTTCAGGCAGCAACTTTAGTTGACATACCTCAATGTCAGTTTGATGCAATTGTGCATTGTGTGGCTACACAGCTTGCCTTGATGTTTGGTTATTTGTATGCATATATATTATGCAGTGGTTTGAAGTTCACTGAACATTAATGTTTACATTTTTTTATTTATTCCTTATATTGCAAAGCAAACATTTGCACAGTGGTCAGTATTTGCACACCATTTTATATTTTTTGACAATCTTTAAAGCAATTATTCAATACATTGTTATTGTTAAATAAATATCGTGAAATAATCGTGATCTCAATTTCATTGGAAATAATCGTGATTTTCATTTTTGCCATAATCGAGCAGCCCTAGTGTAAACATTATGTTTAAATAGTACTGCAGTAAAAAAAAAAAAGTGCTGCAATAATATCGCACACCACAATATGAAGCCACCCTGAATCACTGCAGGGGGAATTCCTCAACCGCGACAGCCCTACCCCCACCCCCGCTCTCATGGAGGAGAGATGTATATTCATTCACCTTGCTTCTTGTTTGAGATTAAGCCAAATTAAAAAGTATTATTACACTGGCCAGTCCTATCAACAATAATTCACTAAAGGAAAAGTCTTACACAGAAGTCATTTTACCAATTAAATGAAATACATATTCAACAACTACCATCATAATTGAATTAGATTAATATCCCACATTTCAAGGCCCTCAAACCACTTCATGGAGGATTCCCTTCCAACAGTTTTAATACCATCCATTTTAATTTTTTGTTTTATCCTTGTATGTGTAATCCTGTTTGATTTGTATTTTAAACTTATTAAATTCAGATACTCACAAACAACAAATTTAAATAATTTCCTAGACATTTGTAAAGATAAATGGACTATTACATTTATGGCATGATCATTCTCTAACAAGCATTGTTAGCATAACATTAACTTTTATTTTGATTTGTTTCCAGTGCCTGCTGTGTGCCAGATCAGATATGCTCAGCGTGCTTGATAACACCCATTTATCCTTTCTAAAGATTGCCAACGCTCCATGAAGACAACAAACACAACAGTGGTGGGGGGCGGGCGGACAGAACGGTGAAAGAAGCAGGCAGACACAAAGGGCTAAAAGAAACAGGTGAGGATGAAGCAGGAAGGAGAAAACTTTAAAAAAGAATTAAAAAACTGGAAGAAGTTCCTCCTCTTTTGTCACATACATTCAGGAGAGACACCTTATGTGTATGCCAGCTGACTGCTACATAATCTGAGCAGACAAGTCTATTACTTATAAATGACAAGAGGTGTTGACAAAGACGCTTCCTCTGAGGAGGAACAGTTGAAGTAGAGGCGATCAAACACTTAAAAATTATTATTATTTTATTTATTTCAACCAAGAAGTTAAATGCTTGATTTTAGCATGTAATGTGTACTCTCTCTACATCATACTATTGGATGCATAAAGGTTGTGCCAATTATTTTCTTGTGCAAGAGGAAAAAAGGCTCCAGATAATTGCCAGAACAAGTACAGTCAGCATAAAAGAAACAGGAAGATGTAATAAAATTTTACAAGTGTTTCCTGTTGCAAGTGTTTATGACCAAGCAAAATTGAAAAGAAAGGAAATACTTCAATCTGTCAATGCATCATGTTTACTTTAGGTTTCATACTTTACAACTATATTAAAAAAATATTGAGCTATCCACTTTTTTTAACCAATATTACAAGAACAAACAGGAAGAATATCCTAAAACTTGGAAAAACAAAATGAACTGCAACAAGTACAATTCACTTACTTTTATGTACTGGACACAAACTTAATCTCGCTTGAGGAGTGACACCAGTTAAGTTTCAACACATTCACTTTAAAATTCTTGTAAATGACAATATTAATTTTAAAATGTTCTGCTGCTCAACTCCAAAACTAATGGTTTATGCTTCATGCACGGGAAAACCCCACAACCAACTCATCTGCATCCCATGCAAATCCTATTATCAAACAAATGGCCAGGTTCAAATATACACACAGAATAAAAAGTAGGAAATGCATTCTGAACGCTTATGCAAGAAAGGGAGATGCTATCTTCCTCTTGAACGCAAGAAAAAATACTTGTTTTTTTGTTTTGTTTGTTTTTTTGCGCATTTATTGAGTTTTAAGAGCAAATAAACTAAAAATCTTTTTAGGAGAGTGCATCAATTTGTTGAAAACCAATTAAAATAATTTATCTCTAATTAGATCTGTTTTATTAGAAGCCAACACTGCTTTTGCATAGCGATTGTTTAAACCCATCTTCAAAGATTGACAACTGTAGTTTAAAAAATACCCTTGTAAAAAAATCATGTCAATTAAATATTGATAGTTGAGAAAATAGCAGATTTTATAAAGAAAAAAGTAAAACCATACATCCAAACAAATTGCAAATAAGAGAGGAGAAAGAACAGTGACTAATGAAAGTTTTTAAACTAACTGGTGAATGCACAAAGATTTGAACTGCTGTCAGACAACAGATCCACAAATTAATCTCTGAAATGGCCCTTTTGGTAAAGAGGAGCACCTGCAGGGTGGGATTCAAAACTGACAAGCCAAAAAGCTGTTGGACTTTTAGCCAAACCAGCCTGGAAATCAATCCAATGTATACTCCTGTCCACACTGGTCTGATGTGTGGAGGTAAAGGTTTGCACCATCACAACCAACTGAGTGCATTTCCAGTAAAGTCTCACATTCTACCAAACTTGAATAATTTCTTCATGCTTTATTTTCTAAGTCAACACAACTCTGGACTGAATATTTAGTGTTCACATCTAATCTGAAGGGATAACTTGTAAGGATAACAGGTAGTATTCTTAAAAACTGATCAAACAAACTTTTATTCCTTTTTGGTGAACACTTCAGGAATTCTGATCTAAATCAGCACAATTCCAAATTGTATAGAATCATGTTAATTCATTGCAGGGGTGTATTTGCAATACCATATTTTCCGGAGTATAAGTCGCTCCGGAGTATAAGTCACACCAGCCATAAAATGTATAATGAAGAAGAAAAAAACATATATAAGTCACACTGGACTATAAGTCGCATTTTGGGGGGAAATTTTATAAAAACTGAGACCAAGCATTTAATTTTGCAAGACAAGTACCGGTAACAATAACAGAATAAACAATCAGGGCGCAGCAGCGCGCCACGATCTCCAGCAGAGGATGGCGGTGTTTCAAACCCTCCCAGCGGGCGGGGAGAGCTCATTCCTGGGCCGGAGCCGGCTCGCAGCACCCCGCCACAGGCTGTAGCAGGTAATGGCGGGGCAGAGGAGCTCGTTCCTGGTCCGGAGCCAGCTCACAGCAGCGCGGTATAGCCTACATAATTTGGAATATAAGTCACTTTGGTATGTAAGTCGCAGGACCAGTCAGACTATGAAAAAAAAGTGCAACTTATAGTCTGGAAAATACGGTAATTAAAATTTTTAAATATGGGATTAGTAACAGGGTATATACAGCAATCCTTAAGTAAAATTTACTACTTTTTAATACTTTTTTTACTACCTTCAGAATTTTTTTAAAACCATCACAACACTAAATTGCAAGTGTTAATCAGCGACCTATTTACACATATTTTAACATATATAACATACAAAAAGAATAGACTTAGAGACTCACTGATGTTGACAACGTATTGCACATATTTATTTTACTTAGGAAAATAAGCCAGGCACTTCTGTTCAGCGATCCAGACAGTTGACCACGAGGCTTGAAATTATGCACAACGACCACTGAATATGACGTCATCATTATGTGACCGGATATGCTAAAGTAGGGCTGCTCGATTATGGCAAAAACAATAATCACGATTATTGTGACTGAAATTTAGATCTCGATTATTTAAGACGATTTTTCAATTTATGTAGATTTTTATTTTTTTATTTTTATTCAGTCATAAAACTGCTCAGGGCACAATCAGGGCAAAAATAAACAAGAAACAAGATGATCACTAAAATAACTCCTGATTCCCAGTATAAAAAGACCAATATACTTATAGCTCATAGTTTATGACCCAAGGGCTATAGACCTTGGTTTAACTCATTTAAGTCTAACCAGTACAGACCCAAATACCAATATCTTGCAAATACTGACAGCAAGAATTATACAGTGGCATTTATAACAAATAAATGCAAATAAATTGATGTTCACTAAATGTTGCATAACATTTATTGAGTCGTGTCAAGGTGCTGTAGGAGCGTGCACTAGCACCATGTCCTCAGAGAGATTAGTTATTATTTATCAGCGTGAGGAACTTATTTCTACCTTATTTATAAACTATTTATTTACAAGTCCATCAGTTAATGTAATAATTGTCCCAACCACAGCTGCACCCCCACCCCCAACCCGGTCTCACAGCAATCAGGGGCAAGCTGCACGTGTGTTTAGCGCGCCGCACGCGCACATTTAGCCGTTTTTATCGGCTCAGGAGTCCGCAGGTGCAGTGTGTGTGTCACTCACTCTGGTTAATCCAACAGGGAGCCGGCTCCGAGAGCTGTCTTTAGCGACTGACACATCACTACATCATTCCCTTTCCTAATGTCCTGAAGAACGGTCCGGAGTGCAGGCGGAGTGTTTAGCTAACCTGCAGGAAATGTCGACGACAGTTATCCAGAAAGTAGCTAAGGGTTACCAGAGATGTTTCTGAGGTGTTCCCTAGGTACTTTTAAGATTTAAAAAGTCAAGAAGGGGGTCTGAGAAGCTGTTAGAAATAGCGTCAAAGTCGCTAAGTTAACTTGGCAACACTGGGAGGAGCGCTTCATTTGCAACTCAAGGCAGCGCAAGTGGGAGGAGCAAATTATAGGCTTGTTTTGTTTTTATAATCGTTCAAAACATTTCATTCGGAATATATTTCTATGTCGATGTTCAGAATACGACATCTGATAGTCTGAAAAAAATAATACCTAATTTGGAAAAAATAATACCTCTGAGACCAAATTTAACACTTTTAATGGCCTTAAATTTGACTATTTTTATTTATCACTTTTTAATACTTTTTAAAACCCCGCGGACACCCTGAGTAAAGTCTTTTTGAATTTGAACAACCTGGATTCAAGTGTTTTCCCTATTTGAAAGTTGTATTTATTATTCTGTTTCTTGAG